ATACATTTTGGGTAAAATTCAGCAGTTTCTTTATTTAAAAGATTTCAACGAACACTTGAAACCGGTTTTTCATTAGAGAATTTCTGTTTTTTTTCATTGGCTGAGAAGCGTTTTGCAGTGATAAAAAAGTTAATAATCTGCTGACGCAAGCTCAGATCGGGTAGAACAGACCAACCGTGTTCCAAAAATTTTTCCTGTGTTCGTGCATTATACGGCCGGTTCATGGAGAACAACATTTTCCTTTAATCCACTGCAATTTCCATGAAAATATTAAGTTCTGTTAGTATACTCCAAATTTATTCTAACAGTCACGTTAGGATGATACATTCTTTTTTTTTTTTTTCGTTTTTTTTTGCACATTTCTGCTGATCCACCTTGAAGTACTCTCATTTATTTTTTTCTGTCTTCCAGTTCTTGGAAGGTTTGCTGTACCGTCGACATACTTTCTGATGATATTTCCTACTGTACTTAGTGCTAGATTCATTTCTTTGCTACTTTTTCGGTAACCTTGTCCTCCTTTGTGACGTTCAATGATTCTATCTCGCATATCTCTGGATAATTCTTTAGTTTTTGCCATTTTTAATCCTTGAATTGCAGAATGCACCTCAAAGAGTCAGATGATTATGTTGTGGAGTATTTTCACAGTGGAGGCTTGTATTTCTAATAAGTCGTCCTAAATTAGGTCCGACGTACAAAACGTTAGGAACTTGGAAAATAAGAGTCAATGGCGCAGCAATCTAGTTGTGATGTTTGGTACTTCAAATGTCCGAATCTCGACTGACGCGCTCAACACCGTTCGGTATTTATCATTTCACCCACGAGAAACGAATATGGCACAAGGCCGGTTTTATTGTGGGTTTCTCCGAGCCCGTAGGCTCGGCCAAAAAAATAGCCTTTGAAGCCGATTAGACGGGTTCAGGCCCTGTCTACCTCCCCGGACGAAACCTTGCCCTTCGGCAAAGCCTCGTCCGGGTTCCCCTCTGCTAATGCAGAGAGTTCGACAGAAGGCGTGCGCAGTCAGAGACCGCTCAACACCGCTCTGCAGACTTGCCACTGCTACTCCTACTCATTATCTATGGGAGAGTCCATTACAATAGAATAGGTACCTAACAGATTAGTAGCACTATCTTGTATACAATTGTGTGCATCTCTGGTCAGAGATAACGTTCCAATACTATCGAAAATTTAAATATTTAAAGTCTTTTAAAATACAAAGTTTCTATTGGAAATTTGAAAAAAGTGTCATGTATCCAATACTTTTGCATAGGGTAATTTTGAACTTTGATAAAAAAAATGGATTCAACCATGAATTTTTAATTTTCCTTCCACATGCAACTAAAACAACTTTACGAGATATTACTTACCAAATATCAGGCAAAATGGCGAACATAAACTAGAGTTATAACAGAAAATAACATGTACCCAATACTTATGCGTGTCACTGTATCTAGCTAGCTATCTCAGTCTGTTCATATCCCTCTATCTATCTCAAGCAGATCTTTCATATATTTTGAGCAAAATTCCATTTTGATGTGAAAAAGTTTTCGACGAATTCTTGAATCTAGTTTTCAATAGAGAAAACTTTCCCCATGAAAATCTTTTGCAACAATCAAAAGAATTGTGGTCATGTTAATATTCCCACTGGCTTGAAACAGACCAACCGAGTTCCAAAGATTTTTCTGTGTTATTCTTGCTATGGGCAGCCTTGCATTGTCATTAAGGAGAACATTTTTCAATTAATCCACCGTGTACGCGGCCATTGCTGTGCAAAAACTAGGGTATATTAGTGTACTCTAAATTTATTCTTAACTGTCACGTATGATTAATAGGTAGGATGATACACAGATCATCACAGATGGTTCAGCAAAACGGAAATTACTTATGACTCAAACTAATAGATTGAAATGCCGAAATTCATCAATACCTATTCATTATCTTATTATGAAAATACGATTACGCCCTATATCGATCACTTAATTCAAAAGAAACTCGAATCCCCTTCGAATTTTACACGGAAGATACACAACGTCCATATAGGTTAACTGTAACGATGTTAGCTTCCTACAATTAATTTGATTACCTAAAATTAACCAAAAAAAAAAAAAAAAAATCAATTCGTATATTGATTGAATTAACATTTTCGAATCGTTATCAGGAATCGTTTATCTTGCATTGGACATCGATTTTTGTTTACACTCAAATTAAGACGTTGCAATTACGCTTAAAATCTATACTAGGGAGATTTGCTTGCCCGATTTCATTTCATGAAAATACGTAATGAAAAATAAAAGTCGAATTTTAAGTCGTACAGATTTTCAATTCTGTTTTATATTCACATTTGGTTACTAATTTTTACAAATGACCAATCGATGTTCAATTGCAGACTGATAACGAATTCCTATGTCTTCATGTAAAATAGTATGAAAGATACAGTTTTTTTTAATCATTTCACCCCAAGCAAGGCAATAATAAAAGTCACTAAGAAACAAGGGGTTATTGAGAATGAATGAATAAGATAGAACTATAAAAGAACAAGTTCAAAGAAACAGAAGATGGCATTTGAAGAATGTAGTTGACAGGAATGCTGAAAGCCGGAAGAGGGTTCCACAAGCGGGAAAAGCGAGATAAGTAACAATTAGTTACGGTCAAACCTATCAATTTATGAGACCTAACTGCCAATCAAGTACTGCGCTTGAATTCGGGAATCGACTTACCAACGAGGAAAATGAAATGGCTAGGTGTAACCGTAACTTCTATGTTAACAGTTTCTTCTCTAGCACTATTCGCTTGTTGAACTTTCTTCTTGTTTCTCGCTTTCCGTTCAACTTCGATCTTCAAAAGTATAAATGCAATGTCAATCGTTTTCTTCTGTCTTCTTAATTTCTGTTCTTTTCTTGTTCTCTCTCCTGTTTTTGTTTTTCGCTTTATCATATTATTTCACATTTCTGTAACTCCTTGTGTCTGAGTGGCTTTTTTGCCTTGCTTGGGGTGAAATGATTAAAATAAAAAAAATTATCCAGCAAAAGCCGCTACGAGCCGCTAAAATCACATTCTTCTTTTATCGATTGTATCTATAATCGGTTGTAGATTCCTAGACAGTACTTCATTGCGCATATGTTATTTCAAGTTGAGATTCAGCGCTGTTCTTAATAGCCCGATGTATATAACGTCTTGTTACTTTTTGACAATGTCAATGTCAGACCTGTACAAGAGGACTATTTCTACATAATGTTGACATAAAAAGTTGGACTTTCTGATATTTTTGTCATTTTTGAATTTTTAGATAGTATTCATTTTTGATAGTTCTACCCAAGCCGCTACAAGCACAGATGTGAAGAGATGGTCACTGATCATTTAAGAATTCCATACTATATCCCAAACAAATCAGTTAATACAAGACGACGGCCCTAAACCAATGTACTGATGCTAAAGAGACTATTCTGATGACACAGATATTCATAGTTCTAATTAGAATGATCTTGATTAGAAAATCAACAGCCTCTAACAGAGTGTTCCAGGAAACAGGATTTAAAATAAACCATTCTAAAACAAATTATGGAACTGGAATGAAAAGTGATAGAACGTACACGGAATCAATCGTAAAAATTCAGGATATGAATTTATTAAATGCCAAACACTTTAAATACGTCGGTGTAGGGATCAGTTATAATAAAATTAGTATAGGAAAAAAGGAAATTGCAGATAGAATAGCCTGCGCTAGAGATAGTTTCGCCCAACACCTCCAATTACTACAAAACCAAAACATTAAAAAAAACTCGAGTCATGTTCTGAAAACACGAGTCAACGTCAAATCGAAACTTTCATGTAGACGTCATGCATGGCGACAACACTGTTAGCTGGATACAACTGCTGCCTAATCTATGGTTAAAATAGGATGAAGCCTGTGGGAAGTGGTGAAGGCCACACTTCTTGAACCTTGTGATACCAATTAACAGGAACCTCTTGAGGGCTCGCATTAGTAGCAACAGAGTAGCAATGGATATTACATGCAAATCGAAGAGAAAATAGCAGCACAATCAAGATATTGACATTCCATATTCCTTCAAATAAAAGATTAAGCCAGAAAACCCCCATCAATACTGGAAAGAACGATCACAGGAAGTGAAAAACCCATTTTCCTGAAAAATTGTTTTATGAGAAAGATTTTAACTGACAGTAGTACAAGATGCTCGATCGATGAATGCCGAATGTTTCATTATAAGGAAACAGTTAATATTACCATTGCAATTCTAAAATATATGTCTTTTTGTGGGTTGTTTAATGATATTTCCAGATATAAAATCATCTACTTGATTTAGCTTGTCTGTTTGAATATTGTAGGATCACCTGCTTCATTATAAGATATGAATTCCGTTTTACTTTTATTTCTATAGAGCCCAGCTTGGGCTGAAGCAGATTATAATCTGAGATGAAATAGTTGGAATTGTTAAAGACTTTCGGATACAGAAGCTAGGTCATCTGCAAAATATATATGTATGTTTACGGCAAAGCATTAGGTGTGGCTTCTGGTTATCAGCTATCTCCTGCTTTTTTTTTTAAAGTAGTTAATAAAACCTAAAAAGGGTGAGAATAGTAAAAATAATTCTATCGTTTTATCTTTGACTATGGCAATGGGGGAATTATTACGTTCAAGGACAAAATATACAGTATGTGAAATTGAGAGAATAATACAAAAATAAATAGGTCAACATGGGTTTTATTTTCAGAACGAGGCTAAAATTTAAACGAAACTGAAGGCGAAAGTGAAAGCAAGGGTTGATTCCCCCCCCCCGGGAAAATGTCTTCTTTTCAAGCGTAAATAAACGAATAGTTCCCGAGATTAAACGGTTACAGCAAAGTATTAGGTGTGTCCGTTCAAGCCGAAAATGCAGGCACTAGTATCCGGCATTGTGCACGTTTATGATCCTATGGCTATATATATGTTTATGAAGGAACAGAGGTGTTATCACTCCCTTCGTCGTTGTATTTTGATGTGTTTGTTATTCTGAGGACTGGCAGTTACAATCAACAATTGAACCCGCTTTATTTTGCGGCCAACTACGAGAGTCGGATGAACAGTAGCTGGCATGATCTAATATGGCGTCAGCAGAGAAAATGGTCTGGGTCGGAAAGAGAGAAAAAGAAAAAAAACTGGAAGGAAGAGTAAATAAGAACAAGAAAAGCCAAGAAAAAAGAGAGGGTGGGAAAAGAGAGATCATGATGAAAAATTTATCATCAAAGAAATGCATAGAAATAAATACAAAAACAATAAAAGGAGGGGGGTGTAGAATAAAGAAAGAATGAGAAAAAGGAAGAAAGAAAGAACGTGAAGTTACGTATAAAGAATTAAAGAAAAAAGAAAGATTAAATAAGACCCAGAAAAAAAAGAAAAAAGGCAAAATAATGATTAAAAGAAAGAAATAAACAAAAGAAAGAAAAAATATAAATATTAGAGAAAAAATTATTAGATCAAAAAATAAAAAAAAAATGTGAACTCATGTTAAAGCGAAAGAAAAAAAGATCAAATGAGGAACTGAAAAACAGAAAGAAGGAAAAGGAGAAAAAGGAAGGTAGAAAGAAAGAATATGACAAAATAATCATTAAAAGAAAGAACGAACGAATGAAAGAGGGAAAGAAAGAAATAACGACAGAAAGAAAAACAAAACAAAATAATGCTTAAAAGAAAGAACGTCAGAAAGAAAAGAAAGAAAAAATATGAAAGACTTCAGATCAAAGAAATAAAAAAGAAAGTGAACGAAAGAATAACAGATCAAACAAGTAACTATAAAGCATGAAAGAATAAAATTAAGCAAGAAAGAAAGAAAGCAGCAAATATGGGAAGAAAGAAAGAAGACGAAAGAATGATCAAAATAAAAAGCGAAGGAAAAAAGACAAAGAAAAAACGAAAGAAAGAAAATTATGAGAGAAGGTGAACATATGTAAAAAAGGAAGAAAATAAATAAAACAAAGAACTTAAAAGTAAGAAAGAAAGAAAGAAAATTCTTAGAGTTAAAAGGTGGACATATGTAAAAAGAATGAAAAACAACTCAAATAAGGGACTTAAAAGAAAGAAAGAAAGAAAGAAAAAATATAAAATAAGAATTAAAAGAAAGAAGGAAATAAACAAAAGAACGAAAGAATGAAAGAAAATTCTTAGGCCGACGAAATAAAAAAGATCAATTTATATAAAACGAAAGAAAACAAATCAAATAAAGTATGGAAAAGAAATAAACAAAGATGTTGACGAAAAAAAAAGTAAATAAAAGTATTAAAATGGAAAAGGGGAATTATTTCAAAGAGGCAAAGATTGATGATAAAAGTGAAAATCGTAACAGGCCAACAATCAGTAAAAGATGGGGGCCATGTGAAACAACGGATATATGTTCAGAACTGAAGGTGGAGGCTGGAAAAAAAGATATGGGAAGATGAGAAATGGATTGAGGGTGAATAAAAAGATTTTGGCGCGGAAGCGGCCGGAAAATGAAGATGAAATAAAATGTCGCTGAATAAAAGGCAGAGAATAAAACGAGAGCAAAGAGTAAAGTGGTGTTGATGTTGTAACCACTGCAGATTGTTGGGCGAGGTGAACTTGTTTGTGCTATTTAAAAAAAAAAGAAAATGGCCGTTTTCGAAGGGATAAACAAGACATAAAACAAGATCAAATGACGAAATGCCTTCAAAAAATACAGCGATTGAAATCTAACGTAGAAAAAATACATGTTCTCAAGTAAAAAAGAAAAGAAAAAAAAATTTTTTTACCACTTAATTCTTTGCAAGTCTGTTCGACATAAACAGAAGTCAAATAAATCATTATCCGTATTGGTTTTATGTTTATTCGAATCTTGTTCGGGAATGTGAATCCTTTTGGTTAATATTATCGTCTGTTATTAAAGGATTTCAACGGCTTTTTTTTTTCTTAAATTTAGTATCTTGGTTTTTTATTTATGTTTTTCCGTGGTTTTCTAAAATCACACAAAAAAAAGAAATCAGTTTTTTCTTCTATAAATTAAAAAGTTGTTTTTGTTTGTGATATGTTAGTTTTCATGTTTGTTTTTTTTGTTTGACGGGCTTTTGATAGTTGTTTTAATTGTCTTTATTAGTTTTTCAATTTCTTTGCTTTATTACTTTTTATTGTTTGATCTTCCTTTTCCACCTTTTCGTCACATTGAATTGGGAAAATCTTTCTTTGCCTGTTTGGCTGAAAAATGAAACCCGTTTTTCTCACTCACACTCAATTACAGGTTTTTTTTTTCTTTCCCTTTTTTTCTCACTGTTTCTTTTTTTAAATTTATTTATTATCCTCTTTATTTTTGATTGTTTTTTCTTGATTGTTTATTTCAACGTTTCTTTCATTTTTATATAATCTCAAAGAAACAAGATCATTTTTTAAAATTATTTATTATTTTTTGAGTCTCACCAAAGAACCAAATTTTAAGAGCTGTCTGTTTTTCTTCATATCTTTTTTTCTCTTGGAAATGTTTTTGTTTTTCTAAATATACACTTTAAAATAATTAGGAAATACGGTTCATTCGATCTTCCCACCTTTTCAGTTTTTCTTTTGGGAATTTCATATTTGCTTTCTTCATTTCTTAGAATTTTCGACTTAAGTTCACTTAAATAAACATATTTTTATTTTCGGGTTTTATGCTTAAACTTATTTTATTAAGTATTTTGTCTCTGTTTTTTTTTCTTTCGTTTATTCAATATGTCCCAATTTCATATTCTTCTTTAAATACTTCATTTTCAGACAATCGTCGTCACAAGAAAATGGGAAAATATTCTATGCATATTTTCAATTTATTTTTGTTCCGTGCGTTCATTATTTTTTTTTTTAATATTCTTTAAAGTTGGCAATTTTTTTTTATCTTATAATGTTTTAACGACGTTTCTCCATATTTAAAATTTTCATAACTTTTCTTATTAATTTTCAAATATCCTTTTGTTCTTTCGAAACGTAACGCCACATCGTCCAAAAGCACACATACCTTTTGATTTTTATCTAAACAATATCTAAAAATATAGTATAAAAATTGTTAAACAAACATTTATTTGCAAGATTAATATATATTTTTGATGACTCATTTTAACTCCTAAAAAGAAGTGTCCCTACATATATCTATCATTCATTGATTCAGTTTGTGCATTTTGCACCGACGTGGTCAACACCTCCCTCCATCATACAATTGTGGTTTATGGTGACATTCAAGGCAAGATAGTGTAATGGCTTGTCGTTTCCTTTTGAACTTGCAATATCAAGGTTATTCCGTCTCTCTTTTCAGAGGTTAAAGAGGCAATACCTACCTTTGAAATCAGACTTTTTCTTCTAGGATATTTTTTTTTTACTATTATTACATCTTAATTTCTGTTGCTTTCATCTAGTAGGATTACTGACTGTGTTATGTGATATCAATTCTCGTTTATGGCCATGAATACTGGATAATTTCCTCACAGATGAAGAGGAGACGTGAAGCAACGGTGACGACGTTTTTCAGAAGGATGCTAAGAATACCGCAAATGGAACATGCGACTAATGAGGAAGTATCAACGAAAATAGCAACGGAAAGCATGTATGAAGTTAGAATCTGTTATGGGACCTTACCCATAATAACATAATGGACTATTCCATACGTAATAAATACTGCGCCTCAAGAGGAAGCAGAGAGTTCAGCCTGAAGTCTGGAGTGAGGGCCATCAGAAGTCTGTCTGTCAGTCAGTCAGAGCGAGTTAGTCAGTCGAGTCAGAGGCAGTCCGAAACAGAGTCGCGTTCAGACAATTACTGCAAGACATTGGAATAGTGATACTGATCGAGACTACATTGTTCTCCCTACTAAACCTGATTGTTCGTACTAAGACTTTCTACTTTTCTGTATATATTCCTGTTTGTAATATATCTGTGTTATTTCATATCCGTGTTCGAGTTCTTCTTTATTGGTTCTACCTTGGACCATCACCGTGGTACAAGGACTTGGACCATAACAAGTGGCGACGAAGATTCGAACTCACACGTGAAGAACAAACAACGAAATCCTCTCTCGTCAACATAACAGAATCAGATGGAGTCAATTGAAACTTCTGGGACACTCTTAGACAAAAATGTGCTTGGAGAATATAATGCACGCAATGTATACTGATGGCAAGAAGGAAAGATGGGCAGCTCGAGAAAACGAACGAGATTGAACAATTAGTTGGTGGGGATAGTTAGTTTACCGCAGCTGTTTTGAGCTACAAAGGGTAGGAAGGTTTGGAAAGCCGTGATCGCTCACGTCTCAAATAAAAGAAGTTCTAAACCAGCCCATTTCTTCTTTTTTGTTTTTCATTGCAAAACAATTTTCTGTGATGTCAACGACCACTTGTTGCCACTTTTGAAATTATAATTCGAAGATTAAACGCGCGTGTGTGTGAGAGAGTCACCATTCTAAAGAAACGTCCATTTGTAAAAATTCTAGGTGAAGTTAATGGAAGGCTTGACTATCAAAAAAAGATCTAAGTTATTCGGTTCTCAGCACCTCTGCCTAACTTTCTAATCATATCGTAATTGAAAGCAATGATAATTGCAAACGAAGAAATAAAGAAATAATTCGAAGATTAAACGTTGCAGATGAAAAGCGAATAATTAAAACTCGCGTTGATCCTCAACTAATTCACTCAAAATGTCGAACGGGTCTGGTGGAAATAGACCGTCGCCACTCTTAATTCAATAAATCCTATCGACGACAAGGAGCGGTGCTATATTTGTATTATTTTTATCGGTGTGTCTCCAAAAAAGATAATCATTGAGGATATGATGTTTAGATGTGTGTCAGTGATGTGCATGCTTGTATATGATTTCTGAATGTGTGTCGCTTGCTTATGTTTATTGAGTAATCCATATATAAGTGATCACTAAGTGCGTTTTACGCAATAGAACGGAGTTAGAAAGATTTTAGAAGCATATGTAGATGTCTTACGGAAGCACATAACCACTTTCTAATATCACTGGTTTTTGTGGTGTTAATAAACACTGGTTGCCACTTTCATGATGCCAACGAATGCTCGTTGTCACTTTCGTAATGCTCGTTGTAGTAGAGACTTTGTAATCGAAGACACCATTATAGTAACGCCGTTCGAAAATACTGGTGTCAGACGCCTTCGAATATTACTCGCACTAATAGTACTTGCTCCATAATACTCTCTCGAAAAGTAATACGTATAGATCCGAAAAGAGAAATAGTATAGTGAACAAAGTAGAGAATAGCGCTCCGTATATTAATAGAAGATAGTATAGAAATAGCCATCCACATAGTAATAGAGGATAGACTAGAAATAGAGATCAATTAGACAAACGTTACTTCCCAGATAAACGTTTCCTGGTCACGTGGTCTGTTTAATTCAATAATAGAATGGGATCGCCTGTTTCAAACTCAAGTGTTGGCAGCGACATTTTATTCCGGTATGTATGCTAGCACTTCAGCAGTCAGCTTCAAAACAAGATTGCATATTTATAACATACGATATAATGTTGGACATTTCTAAAGAAATTAATTTTTTCTAATTTATTAATCTGACTGATTTCTTTCACTTTAAACGTTATTTTTAGTGGATACCCCCATTCTACTAGATGCACCGTTTATTTTAAACAGTATATTTGCTTTTGTCTGCCGGTCTGGGATAACTTATTAAAGGAAAATATGCTTCCTCTAGCAGGGTTCGAACCTGCTTCCAACACTGAAAGCGAAACCATCGTAAGATCCTGCCTGAGGTTGCATATTTTTTGAATATTCAGGCAAGCAAACGCAAATAAACATACTGTTTAAGATAAACGGCGCTTCTACTCAAATACGGATATCCATTAAAAGTAACGTTTAAAGTCATAAAATGCATTGAATATATATATATTTTCTGTTTATACGTTATTTAATAGATACAATTTATTTAAGTAAATGTACTGTTTTTTTTTTTTAAATAAACTTTATTAATTACATTGACCGGCGTGAATGTTCGAGAAATTTCGTAGAAAATATGTGTTCGTATCTGCTCACAAAATGTACCTTAACGTAAACATTGACACCATATTATGAAAATATATTAAATAATTGCATAATATATATATATATATGTTAAGAAATGGACAAGGTCCGACAATTTATTTATTAAAGACATTTTTTTTTTTTTTTTTATATATATATATATATATATTATATATATATATATATATATATATATATATATATATATATATATATATATATATTCTGTTGGAAAGAAGGTACACGCACAATTATTTAATAAATATATATAAGAGTCGCGCAGATCTTAATTCCAGCCCATATATATATATATATATATATATATATATATATATATATATATATATATGTAAAAAAACGGAAAAATATTTGGGAATTTAAATTCATTCAGTTTTTCACCCTTGGAAGTGTGATTTGATGAGACAGGGAAAAGAAATTTCCTGGGGAAATAAATTATAACTTATGGACCCTTAATGTTGTCTGTTTTCATGAAATTATATATATATATATATATATATATATATATATATATATATATATATATATATATATATATATATATATCTGTGTGTGTATGTGTGTTAAATGGTAGGTAGGGAACAACTTGATCTTCAACTTTGATTGGCAATCAGTCTAGTAGAAGGGCAACTCTGTATTCACAATCTGAGTATGTTGATTTGTTGAACTTTTATCAGGCCATGTGCATAGTTTCTTTCTAAAAGTGTGGCTGGTTCTACACAAGCATTCACCACTATAATCAAATAGTATGTGTGGGTAGATTGGCTGTTTATTTTTAAGCAATGAGAAGCTGGGCGTTCAGATGGAACCACCCCCCACCAAACGCACACATGCATACATACATACATGATACACACACATATATATATATATGTATACAAGAATAACTAATATTATATAGATAGGAACAGAGATAGACATACATACACATAGATGTGAACAGATTGAGATAGATACATAGATATGAAAAGACTCAGCTAGATAGATAGATAGATAGATAGATAGATAGATAGATAGATAGATAGATAGATAGATAGATATGAATAAACTGAAGTAGATAGATAAATATGAACAGACTAAACTAGATACAGAGATATATATATAAATAGACTGAAATAGATAGATAGATAGATAGATAGATAGATAGATAGATAGATAGAGAGAGAGAGAAAGAGAGAGATAAATAGACTGAAATAGATAGCGAGATAGGTATGAATAGACTGAAATAGATAGAGAGATAGATATGAATAGACTAAAATAGATAGATAGATAGAGAGAGAAAGAGAGAGAGAGATAAATAGACTGAAATAGATAGCGAGATAGATATGAATAGACTGAAATAGATAGATAGATATGAATAGACTGAAATAGATAGAGAGATAGATATGAATAAACTAAAATAGATAGATAGATAGATAGATAGATAGATAGATAGATAGATAGATAATTCTGTGTAGCTAACTCATATCCTTTTGCGAGTTACTCTATGTGGGCGTTTCATTTTAATTTTCATTTTAACTTCTCTGAAGGCAAAATTAAAATCATCAAATCTGCAAATCAAATTTGGAAACATGAAATTCCTCATAAAAATCGTTGAAAACACCAAATTGATAATGTCTCGATATTAAATATGTGCTTTTTGCGCACAAAAAATCCTCTGCTTTAATTAATGCTAACAGCACTGAATGTCTTCATTTTATTCTAGTCATTTGCCAGAGTTCTACAGGAAGATGGGATATTTAATATAGTTGAACGATGGCGCGATAAGAAGAAAGTGAAAATTGTTTATTCGCTTATGATATCGGCGAAGGAACATTCATTGAACTAAATAAAGAACACATAGGATTATATTAAATTATTTTTTTTTTATTTATAGTCGACTTTGTTACGATTTCGGTTTAAACGGATTTTCAAATCCAATATTTATTTTTTTAGTATCCGAATTTGCTGGCAGTATCATTGAAAAGAATGAAGATAAAATATAACAGCGAGATGGATATGAATCCACAGAGATAGATAGATAGATAGATAGATAGATAGATAGATAGATAGATAGATAGATAATGAACAGACTGAGATAGATAGATATCAAGAGACTGAGAGCTATCTATCTATATATCATTTACATATATATATATATATATATATATATATATATATATATATATATATATATATATATATATATATATATATATATAGATAGATAGATAGATAGAGAGAAATAGACAGATAAATATACAGATATGAACAGATAAAACTAGCTAGATAGATAGATAGATATAAACAGAATAGATAAAATAAAATATAATAAAATAGATATGAACAGAGTATGATAGATAGTTATGAACAGACTGTGATAGATAGATAGAAAATAGATGGAGTCAGAGAGAGAGAGAGAGAGAGAGACAGACAGACAGACAGGGAGACAGAGAGAGAGAGAGAGAGAGAGAGAATCTGAGTGTTACGGGGGTTTCTACTTCCTTGATTATCTGATATCAAATATACCAAACATTAAAATCAGCAAATAGATTGCAACACATTCATTATATCTCTCGTATATATATATATATATATATATATATATATATATATATAGTGGATGCAAAATAGGTATGGAACAAGAAAACGTATTGATAAAACAAGCATATCAATATAATACTGATATAATACTTACTCTATACCTACTTTTGCAGCACCCTGTATACGTAGGTTTTGTTAAAGACTCATGAAGTATATATATTATTTAAATTTTTCTCGAATCCAAACCATTTTCCTGGTTTCAGGATAAAGTAGAACATAAATTCTCAAATGTTTTCTAAGCGCTTCCGGCTTTGCAAAAGCTGTTTTCGCAAATTATTATTTTTTTGCCAGTATTGTGTATTTGAATATGCATTGTGTTCTCTTTCGTAAGTTTTGAGAGTCGCATTTTCACGCGTCAATGAGACTGCTGTTTCTTAAGAATCGCCTCTTCATGTGTCATGTAGTTTCGTATCTTTTCTGCTCAGAATGGTGAAATGTCGTAAGAGTGAGGGCGCAAATTTACTTATCTAAACGCAGTATAAAATTTGTTACTACTTCAACTGAAACAATAAAAGACTTAGTAAATACTAAACAAATCAATAAGCCAAAAATTGAAGGAGGAATTTACTCTATTAACTGTAATAAATGTCGCAAAAATACATAGGTGCAACTTCAAAGAATCTAAATAAAAGATTATATGAACACAAAAGGGGCATTTTACAAAATAATACATTAAATGCATTAGTTGCTCACCGTAACAAAACTGACCACAATGTTGACATAAAAATTCTACTCTGGTCAAAGGAGAAAACAATTCACTAAGACGAAAATGTATAAAGAGGGTTTTGACCGCAAGGTCATCCACAGTAAATTTGGTCTCAAGCTTTTACATTTCACCATTCCTAACAGTTCTTCTATTATCAGCACCCCCGCAAAAAAACATAGACATTTTTTTATGTTTATACGTTCTTTTTATAGATACAAATATTTAAGTAAATACACTGTTTATAATAAACAGTATTAATAACATTTACCGGCTTGAATGTCCGAGAAATTTCCATAAAAAATATGCGTCCTCCGACAGGAATCGAACCTGCGTCATATAGCCTGAAGTGCCTTAACCTATTGGACCACAGAGGAGCGTTCGGTTAGCAAGGTCGATTTAACTGTTTTTAAACACAATTCTCCATGATTGTCTCTCATTCATCCATATCTGCTCAATGCGTATCCAAATGTAAACAAATGACGTCATACATTATGATATGGACAAAGTCTGACAATTATTTAAGACATTTTTTTATGTTTATACCTGTCGGAGCAGGCATATTTCCTATGAAAATTTCTCGAACATTCAGGCCGGCAAATGTTATTAATACTGTTCATTATAAACAGAGCATTTACTTAAATATTTGTATCTATAAAAAGTATATATAAACATAAGGCAGGTCAGGCTATATGACAGTTCCGTATAGGATACAGGTTCGATTCCTGTCGGAGGACGCATATTTTCTGTGAAAATTTCTCAGGCATTTAGGCTTCTAAATGTTGTTAATACTGTTTATTATAAACAGAGCATTTACTTAAATATTTGTATCTATAAAAAGAATGTATAAACATAAAAAAAGTGTTTTGAATAATTGTCGGATTTTGTCCATTTCATTATATATATATATATATATATATATATATATATATATATATATATATGTGTGTGTGTGTGTGTGTGTGTGTGTGTGTGTGTAATAAATTACAAATAGAAATTATTAAAAAATTATTAATAGATTAAATTTAATATTTCTGATAAGCAAAATATTTTGCTGTATTTCAAACCAATCTTCAAATTCATTACGATCATTTTTCCGATTATTAGTAAAATGTATAAAATCGTCCATAATGACAAATCTGTCAACACAACATCATTTCTTTATTAAAAAAATGTTTTAAACTATACACATTTCTGAAATGTTATTTGAAGAAGATTAACTTAATTGATCTGAATTGAAACAAACATTATTTACTATTACTTTAAAAATACCGCAGAAAAGGATTTTTTAACACGTGGCTGGATGATTTTTTACGTGTTGAGTGATGTAATGACAGCTTGATGTCTGAGAAATTTAATTAAGTAATACATTAAAATAAAATTACAGGCCGAATTCATCGTAAACGGCTTTTTGTATATATTTTTGATCTGCCCATTAGTCTTAAAAACATTAAATATTTTAACCATTCTAATATTTTGGCGAAATTTAGGTACTTTGACTTTATAGTCTTATTTTCAAATACATTTCTTGAGGAGACGTTAAAAATACCAATAAATTTTGAATTTACTATACAAATTCATGGGCCCGCATTAATGTAAGAAATCAAGATTTTAACCGAAATTCCCAAGGTTTTAAAAAGGATTAAAAAACATTAATTTCATGAGCAGATATGATATGTTCGGAAAGATTGTCGAAGATATGTTGTTTATAAACAGTAATTTGAACTTTGCTAAAGAGACGCTTTCTCTGTAGCTGAGTGGTATAGCACGTCAGATCTCTGTAGCTGAGTGGTATAGCACGTCAGATCTCTGTAGTTGAGTAGTATAGCACGTCATATCTTTGTAGCTGAGTGGCATAGCATGTGAGATCAACTGACATTTCTGTATAGGACGCAGGCTCGATTCATGTCGGGAAACATATTTTCTAAGAAATTTCTCGAACATTCTGGCAGATAAATGTAATTTATACTGTTTATTTAAAAACAGAGCATTTACTTTAATTAAATATATCTATTAAAAATAACAGATAAACAGAAAATATAATATTACACACACACACACACGCACGCACGCACACACACACGCATATATATATACACGCACACACACACACACACACACACACACACACACACACACACACACACATATATATATATATATATATATATATATATATTATAATAAAAAGAAAGAAGAGTAAGATATATAATCCGGTGTTCTTAATTGATATTTTTATTTTTACAAAACTGTGCTCAATGTAAATTTACAGAGCATAAATATTATAAATTAACTGATTTAAAATATGGTTTCTTTGCTACCCAGGAATTAGCATGTTTAAAAAACCGAAGCTAAAAACTTCAAATTTAATTATATAATTAAATTAAAAGCATTAGTTCTGTTTCATCTTCAAGCGAATTTTGGAAAAACAAATTATTTCAAAATTCGCTTGAAGATGAAACAGAACTAATGCTTTTAATTTAATTATATAATTAAATTTGAAGTCTTTAGCTTTGGTATTTGAAACATGGTAATTCCTGTGTAGTGAAGAAACCATATTTTAAATCAGTTAATTCATAATATATATATATATATGTGTGTGGGTGTATGTACGCATGCTTATATCACAGTTGGAGGAAAAAAATGATGTGTCTCAGTTTGTACATGTGTGCGTGTGAATATGTGCGTACGTGCGTGCACGCATATATATATATATATATATATATATATATATATATATATATATATATATATATATATATATGCGTGTGTATGTACATGTGAAGAATCTGTCCTTGTTGTAAAAAATGATCATCTGACTTCGTCTCAGTTTGGGAAAGAGAAAGATAACCATTTTTCCAACGTATTTTAAAGCGGCCGTTCATTGATAATGAAATTCCGAATGTCATACTCTCAACTCAGAAAACGTGATTAAATAAACTGTTGTTTGCATAGATCTAGTCGTTTCTCCTCAGATTGCAACCGTAGATAATGTTCAGCAGGCGAACATTTCTACATAACCTCTTTGAACGGACTTGTTTTTTTTTATTTTTATTATTCCTTTCTTTCTTTGTATGTGTTAGCAACCGTCACCACTCAAATTAAATCAAATAATAAATGTCGTTTTAACAATAACTAAGAATCAAAATAAAAGATCTTAGTATCAAGTTAAAAAAAAATGCGATAAAAACTGTCAGTCCAAGACAGGAGCAAACTCGGGACTATTTTCCATTTTCGAACCCATTACATAAAGCTGCTCTGAAACCATAAATAAATTCACATTTAGCTGTGTTTTTTTAGTTGGGAAAATAGATACTGTGACTATCTAACACATCTCAACGCTACTCACAATTCTCTTTATAAATATTCAGTAGACATCAGTACAGAGATTTGTAGGTGCAATACTTATATGACGAAAAATATAGTAATAAAAATGTGAAAAATATCAAACAAACAAAATAAAAGCCTTTCTTATATGTTCGTCTAAAACAAAATCTGAACAACCCAACGTCATAATCGTTGGGTTAAAATCTTAATCTATACCCTGTTCAAGATAAAGAAATTACAGAAAATTACGCATACACTTGGCACCCCAGAACAAGTTATTAAAAACTGATATAGTTTAATTACAAACCTAATTTAGGGAGAGAAAAATTTAATTTGAATGACTCAAATGTTAGCCTCCCCTTTCCGTTGTGCGCATGTGCAGTTACATCAGTGTAAACATAACACTAGTCCGATAAGTCGTAACTGAAGAAATGCGTCACACGAATTATAACGTGAAGATTAATAGTACTTCCTAAGCGGTGCGGTGCACCTCATAGGAAGAAGATAGCAGGTGAGGCAGAATGATTGAAAGACAAAGATTTACAAAAAGTTTTTAAAAATTCATGTGCCAAAAATAAATATGATTTCAAATTTTAAAATATTATTATGGATCACTTGTAAATGCATTCATAAATCCCACTATAAATAGTTATAAATAATTATTGGCCGATTTTACCATTGTGATTTTTTTTGCATTACATCAAGTATTAAGAATATTGTAACTAGGCTCCACAAATTGGAGGAGAGAGTTATCAATGATATTGCTCTAACTTCGAATCCATAGTTATCTCCCTTGAAACCTCTATCTATTTAAAAAAAAATTAAATGTATTTTTATCACATAAAATTCGGTGAGGCGCGAGCATATTTTCATACTGAAAATGCGGCCCAGATAAAGTACAATTTCTTGTTGAGTCAACCGCGTTCAAATTTGAACATATGCCCTAGGATATAAAACCATAAACCCATCTCTTCTCCTCCCAGCCAAGAGTTAAATAGCAGCGTATACCCGGACTCTCTAATCTTGGGTGGTAGCCACTGTAAAGATCTTGGAGAAGGCGACGATCGCAATAGATGTAGTAATTCACAGATAATGAGTAAAATGTGTCTGGAAAGCCATGATCGCATACGCCTCAAAGTAATCTGGCATCTATATTCATTAACTAGTAAACATCTTCACAGATGAATAGACAGAAGGTAACAGAGATGTGGTTCTATAGAAAGATGCTGAGAATAATGTGGACGGAGCACGTATGCAACGAAGAATTAAGGAGAATGGGGAAAATGGACGTTTAGTAATCAGTATAAGAAAGAAACAGTTGAAATCTCTTGAACATAATAAGGAAAGAAGACTTGGAGAATTTGATATTCACGGGGCAACCTATTGGACTAACTTGGAAAGATGGCGGTTCAGGGTAGAAGGAATGACAAAAAACAGACGTTATTTGGAACTACAAATGATAAGTAGTTGTGGAGAGCCATGATTACTCGCCATCTAAAGGGAAACATAGAAGAAGAACTTGCAAAACGATTTCGTTCCCTAATGTTTAAATACAGTAGAATCTTGGTTCACGAAATTAGTTCGTTCTTGAAAGCAATTTGTAACCCGAAATGTTCGTAAATCAAAACTATTTTATCCATAGAAATCAACGTAAGGGAAAATAATTGCGCATAGGGGGGGGGTGTTATGGAAGAGCAAGCGGGGAGGTGTTATTGTTTGGAAAGTGGAATCCTTTTCCACAAAAACATCTAGTAATTGTCTTTATAGTGTTTCTTCTCTTTCTCTTTCGCGTCTCTGAGAAGCACTCGACTTTGCTTCAGACACACTAAAAATTTGTCCAATGAGAATCGTTTTTGCCTACGTTTTTAAATGTTTCTAAAGAGAGACATTGTGCTGCCATTGGAAATTTTTATGCTGCGTCTGGTACTGTGTTATCAGGCTGATATAATTTGACGAAACTTTTTTTGTTTTTCGGAAAATTTGTTCGTGAACCGAGGTTCTACTGTACTTATTAAGAAATTTTCTTCGGTCGATTTTTCTGAAAAAAATCCCTAAAATTGATCCATCCATTGTTTTATTTGTAACTTTCTTTTCTTTATTATCAAAAAATCCTTTTTTTATCTCTTTTTTGTTGTTCTTCATAGTTTGCCATTAACAGCCATTCAGAGACTATAACTCAAAGACATATTGTAAAATTGTTCCATTATGAGCGCTAACTCAATGTCCGCCCGAGACAGATTTACCGTGGAAGCTGCAGCAGGTTATCGAATAAAACTACTCACTCACACTCAACTAGGAAAATCTACGGTGGCTCTACCTCGATACCAAACACTTCATTAGGTCCGAAATCTGAGGCGACTTTCTGCTCTTTATCTAGAAAAATTGACCTCAGAAATCGATTATTAAAAGCTACGAGCGAACGAGGGTAATTTGAACTGACATATGAAAATGTAAATTAAGTGTAGAACGGGTTCAGTCATTAAATTCAATGTATGGGGGCGTTTATATTATATATATATATATATATATATATATATATATATATATATATATATATATATATATATATATATATATATATGAGAAGATGAGGAAAAGCTCTCAGCCTGACCAATTTCTCAAAATATGTACAAATGACCAAATAGAATGTATTTTCGAATGCGTTCTTAGTGGTGACTAGCAGGAGAGAAACCGTTCAGACTGGCACGCCTTAGTCAAATATGAATATCCATTAAAAATAACGTTTAAAATCTGTCAGATTAATAAAAATTACATGTTAATATATATATATATATATATATATATATATATATATATATATGTATATGTGTGTGTGTCTGTGTGTGTACATACAGGGTGAGATGGGTAAATTGTCAGCATTTTCTATTTTTAATTTCGCGTTGTTTGTTTTTGATTTTGTCGACGGCACGGTATAGTGGAGTCAGATGAGCATGAACACCATGACAATTCCCACCGCTAGCAATTGGGAAAAGATATGCTGTGCTACTTGGCATTCGCGACGGAAGTTTTAATAAGAATATTTCAGAATGTTTGTGTCTCAATCTGAGTAAAATGCAGAAAATTCGGAAAGAGTTGGATGAGTCTAATGGTGATTACGAAGCTATAGCAGCTCAGAAAACTCACCCTGATCATTCTGATAAGTTAAGAACACCGTAATTTGTTGGTGAGGTCATCAGACTTAACATGGAGGAATTCATGAAGTGCCTCCAGGAAGTAGTGCTGCCCTGAGTCAAGAGGGTGGCTGCAGGAAGATTTGGCAACAAGATTCTGCACCAAGCCATACAAGCAGACGAACACAGTCTTAGCTGTCAGACAGTTTCTGTGATATATATATATATATATATATATATATATATATATATATATATATTTTTCATTAAAGACGGCTGACAAGTTATTGCGTTTCTGTTCTGGGCATGAGATGTGTAAAAATTGTTTTTTTTTGTCTGAGCGATTTCGGCTATTCTAACTGAATGTGTAGATTATATCTATCTATCTATCTATCTATCTATCTATACACACACACAGAGAGAGAGAGAGAGAGAGAGAGAGAGAGAGAGAGATTATTACGTTTTTTTTATTTTCCAAACACGGTCAGCAGAGTTGATATAATTCTGTTAAATCAAACTCATTTTTCTTGCCATATCTCGAAAATTATTTGTCCGACTTTCCTCGTCTTGAGGTGACCTAAGCAATGGGTTTCAAGGGTCGCATAACAGGAGGAAATTTTGGAAATGTTGAAAAAATATCGGAAAGTATAAGACTCCGGGCATCGATCGTTTACTCTCCCAAGTGTACTTGAGGCTGTCACCAATGTTTGATATTCTCTTCAACCACTGGAGGGAACAGGGAACTATTCTCCAACATTTCACCATGGGTGTAGTGAAGTTTCTACGCTAGAGCAAACATAGGACGAATGGGATTAGTAATTTTCGGCCCTTTACGATGATTAACGCAGAGTTTTAAAAAAATTGGCCATGGTTCTGGCAAATTGTTTGCAGGTTGTGCTCGACCGTCTCATATCCGCTGAACAAACTTGTGCAGTAAAGCGTGGGACAGTTCAACCTTCATTTTGTGTGCACGATCATAGAAAAAATCGACGGAGAAACCGCGCTGATCAACTTGGATAGGCCAATGATAGGGTGGACCGTCGTTCCTTGGGGGCTGTTTTGTCTGCAGCCGCATTCAAGTTGTACTTTCGCTTCTGGATTCCCTCTTGTATGCGAGACCATGTTTTATGGTGGAAATGAAGGGGGTAATAACGAAGCCCTTCATCTAGACCAGATCCATTCGCCAGAGCTGTCCCGTCTCGCACTTGCTCTATGTGCTTGCACAGTAGTCATGTACATGTTCCAACTTGCACATGTAACTTATGTGCAAGGCCGGGTATTTTTCCAGGGGCAAAATATCTTTTTTGAACCCGCACCCAAGTCGAACGAGACTCTGCCCTTCGGCGGAGCTTCATCCGAGTTCCTCTCCGCCCGAAGGCAGAGAGTTAGACTGTTA